GAAGTGGAGCAGACAGGACTTGAACCAGCATCCATATGGGATGCTGGCATGGCAGGCAGTGGCTTTACCCGCTTTGCCACAGAGCCGACCTCTGGTTTAACTTTCATTCTGCGGGCTGGCAGTCTGCGCTGAGCTCAGCAGGTGTGCTAGGTTCACACCCCTGCCTGCCAGGAGCTGCCAGCTTGGCTGGGTGCTGGCTGCTCTGGGACTGCCTCAGCTGCTCAGATGGTCTCTCATCCGCGTGATCGGCATCCCCCGCAGGCTAGCCCGGGGTTTGTTCATAGGGAGGTGGCGGGGTGCCAGGAGAACAGGCACAAACAGGCCTTGAGATGGAGGCCTGGCCCAGGCATAGGAGGGAGTCCACTAGTCAAAGCAAGTCCCAAGGCCAAGCCCAGGTTCAAAAGCTACTGTACTTCTTAATGGGAGGAGCTATGTATGCTGAAAAGGTATGGGTACAGTAATGATCGTGGTCAGCTTTGTTTTCTTTCAAGTTTATTTTTTATCTATTTGAAAGACAGAGTCAGAGATAGAGAGAGACAACAGCCGCTTCTGGGCCAGGCTGAAGGCAGCAGCCAGGAGCTCCATCCGGGTGTCCCATGTGCGTACAGGGGCCCCCGTACTGGAGCCATCATTTGTTGCCACCCATGATGCACACTAGCGGGAAGCTGGATTGCAAGCGGAGGTGAGACTGGCTGCCAGGTATTCTGATGTGGGTTACTGGCTGCCCAAGTGGTGACTGGACCCACTGTGCCAGTCTGCTCCTGTTTTTTACATATATTTTTTTAAAGATTGGGGCCAACACTGTGGCATAGCGGGTAAAGCCACCGCCTGCAGTGCTGGCATCCCATATGGGCGCCGGTTCGAGTCTTGGCTGCTCCACTTCTGATCCAGCTCTCTGCTATGGCCTGGGAAAGCAGAGGAAGATGGCCCAAGTCCTTGGACTCCTGCACCCACGTGGGAGACCTGGAAGAATCTCCTGGCTCCTGGCTTCAGATTGCCACAGCTCCAGTCGCTGCGGACAACTGGGGAATAAACCAGCGGCTGGAAAATAGCTCGCTCTCGCGCTCTCTCTCTCTGCCTCTCCTCTCTGTGTGTAACTCCTACTTTCAAATAAATAAATAAATAAAATATTTTAAAAAAAAGATTGATTTGTTTATTTGAAAGGCAGTTACAGAGAGGCAGAGAGAGAGAGACAGAGAGACAGAAAGAGAGAGAGAGAGAGAGAGAGGTCTTCCATCTGCTGGTTCACTCTCCATTTGGCTGCAACAGCAGGAGCTGCGCCGAATCCAAAGCCAGGAGCCAGGAGCTTCTTCCAGGTCTCCCACGTGGGTTCAGGGGCCCAAGGACTTGGGCCATCTTCTACTGCTTTCCCAGGCCATAGCAGAAAGCTGGATCGGAAGTGGAGCAGCTGGGACTCAAACCTGTGCCCATATGGGATGCCAGCACTGCAGGTGGTGGCTTTACTGACACAGTGCCGGTCCCTGTTTTTTCTCTTTAAAACAATCCTATTGTGGTAAAATACACCTACCATTACATTTGCCATTTTAGCTACTTTTGGGTGCACAGTTCAATGGCATTAAGGACATTTATGTGCTGCGACACATTACTGCCTCCATCTCCGGAGCCCCAGACTGAAACTCCACACCCATGCACCAGTAACTCCCTGGTGCCCCTCCGCCAGCCCCTCGTAACCGCTCTTGAACCTTCTGTCGCTATGAAGTCAACTCTTCTAGTTACTTCAGATAAATGGAATTGTGGCCATTTTTGCAAACAATCTATCTTTTTTTTTTTTTTTTTTTGATAGGCAGAGTGGACAGTGAGAGAGAGAGACAGAGAGAAAGGTCTTCCTTTGCCGTTGGTTCACCCTCCAATGGCCACCGCTGCAGCCGGCGCACCGCGCTGATCCGATGGCAGGAGCCAGGAGCCAGGAGCCAGGTGCTTCTCCTGGTCTCCCATGGGGTGCAGGGCCCAAGCACCTGGGCCATCCTCCACTGCACTCCCTGGCCATAGCAGAGAGCTGGCCTGGAAGAGGGGCAACCGGGACAGAATCCGGCGCCCCGACCGGGACTAGAACCCGGTGTGCCGGTGCCGCAAGGTGGAGGATTAGCCTATTGAGCCACGGCGCCGGCTACAATCTATCATCTTATTTTAAAAAACAAAGATTTATTTATTTACTTTGAAAGGCAGAATTACACTGAGAGGGAGAGACAGAGAGAAGGGTCCTTCATCCGCTGGTTTACTCCACAAATGGCCGCAACAGCTGGAGGTGTGTCGATCCGAAGCCAGGAGTCAGGAGCTTCTTCCAGGTCTCCCACGTGGGTGGCAGGGTCCCAAGCACTTGGGCCATCTTCTACTGCTTTCCCAGGCACATTAGCAGGGAGCTGGATAGGAAGTGGAGCAGCCAGGGTTTGAACTGGTGTCCATCTGAAATGTTGGTGTCACAAGCAGTGGTTTAACCCACAGCGCCACAACACGGGTCTATCATCTACTCTTCTTCTTCTTCTTCTTCTTTTTTTTTTTTTTTTTTTTAAGATTGTATTTATTTATTTGAGAGGCAGAGTTATAGTCAGAAAGGGTTTCTGTCTGCTGGTTCACTCTCCAAATGGCTGCAACAGTCAGAGCTGGGCCAGGCTGAAGCCAGGAGCCAGGAGCTTCTTCTGGGTCTCCCATGTGGGCACAGGGACCCAAGCACGTGGGCCCTGGAGCAGCTGGGACTCGAACCAGCAACCATGTGGGATGCTGGCACCGCAGGTGGAGGCTTAGCTCACTACAACACAGCGACAGCTCCTCTATCATCTACTTTTTTTTTTTTTTTTAATTGAGGGGCCGGTGCCGTGGCACAGTAGGTTAATCCTCTGCCTGCGGCACAGGCATCCCATATGGGCACCCGTTCTAGTCCCAGCTACTCCTCTTCTAGTCCAGCTTTCTGCTATGGCATGGGGAAGCAGTAGAAGATGGCCCAAGTCCTTGGACCCCTGCACCAACGTGGGAGACTGGGAAGAAGCTCCTGGCTCCTGGCTTCGGATTGGCGCAGCTCCGGCCATTGTGGCCATTTTGGGAGTGAACCAATGGAAGGAAGACCTTTCTCTCTGTCTCTCCCTCTCACTGTAACTCTACCTCTCAAATAAATATATTTTTTTAACAGGCAGAGTTAGACAGTGAGAGAGAGAGACAGAGAGAAAGGTCTTCCCTCTCTTGGTTCACCCCCCAAATGGCCGCTACGGCCGGTGCGCTGTGCTGATCCGAAGGCAGGAGCCAGGTGCTTCTCCCATGGGGTGCAGGACCCAAGCACTTGGGTCATCCTCCACTGCACTCCCGGGCCACAGCAGAGAGCTGGCCTGGAAGAGGAGCAACTGGGACAGAATCCGGCGCCCTGACCGGGACTAGAACCTGGGGTGCCGGCGCTGCAGGCGGAGGATTAGCCTAGTGAGCCGCGGATAAATAAATAAATATTAAAAAAAGATTTATTTATTTGAAAGTCAGAGTTACACAGCAAGAGGAGAAGCAGAGAGGGACAGAGAGAGGTCTTCCATCCACTGGTTCACTCTCCAGATGGCCACAACGGCCAGAGCTGCGCCGATCTGAAGCCAGGACCCAGGAGCTTCATCCGGGTATCCCACATGCATGCAGGGGCACAAGGACTTGGGCTATCCTCTACTGCTTTTCCAGGCCACAGCAGAGAGCTGGATCGAAGTGGAGCAGCCGGGACATGAACTGGCGCCCATATGAGATGCCAGCACTGCATATGGTGGCTTTACCTCTACGCCAAAGTGCTGGCCCCTATCCAGGTTTCAACCCAAGCACTTCATCCATAATATGGGTGCACATTAGCAGGAAGTTGGACCAGAAACAAAGCCGGGACTCGAATCCAGGCACCTGACATGGGACGCAGGCATCCCAAGCTGCAACTTAATTGCTATGTGAAATGCCTGCCCATTCATGAACTTTTTTAAAGATTTATTTATTGGAAAGTCAGAGTTACACACACACACACACACACACACAGAGGGAGAGACAGAGAGAGAGAGAGAGATTGTCCGTCCACTGGTTTACTCCCCAAATGGCCCCAATGGCCAGGGCTGGGCCAGCCTGAACCCAGGAGCCAGGAGCTTTGTTTGGGCCTCCTATGTGGGCACAGGAGTCTAAGCACTTGTACCATCTTCTGCTGCTTTGCCAGGTGCATTAGCAGGGAGCTGGATGGGAAGTGGAGCATCTGGGACTCGAACCGGCAGCCATATATGATGCCAGCGTCACAGGCGGTGGCTTTACCCACTACACCACAGCGTCGGCCCCAGGAGCAGGGATCTCAATTGAGAGCTCCCACGTGGGTGTCAGGAACCCAATCACTTGAGCCATCGCCTGCTGCCTCCCAAGACCTGAATTGGCAAGAAGCTGGAGTCAGGAGTTGGAGCCAAGAATCTAACCCAGATGCTCTAATATGGGACGCCAGATCTTTTAATTTCAACTGTTGCCAAATTTAATTTAATTTTTAAATTACTGCTTTTTAAAAATATGCATCCATTACTGGGCAGTTAGGAAAGCAGTTAATTTTTAAGAAAGATTTATGTATTTATTTGAAAGGCAAAGCAACAGAGATCAAAGGAAAGACACACACACACACACACACAGAGGTCTTCCATCCACTGGTTCACTCCCCAGATGGCCACAACAGCTAGGTCTGGGCCAGGCTGAAGCCAGGAGCCCAGAACTTCATCTGGATTTCCCACATGGGTGGCAATGGCTCAAGTTCTTGGGCCATCATCTGCTGCTTTCCCAGGCACATTAGCAGAGAGCAGCATCAGAAGTGTAGTAGCTGGGACTCGAACCTATACTCTCATAGGGGATGCTGGCATTGGAAGCAGCAGCTTAACCCACTGCACCACAGTGTTGGCCTAGAGCAATTAATTTTTTTTTAAAATATTTATGTATTTATTTGAAAGGCAGAGTTAGAGAGGCAGAGGCAGAGAGAGAGAAAGAGAGGTCTTCCATCTGCTGGTACACTCCCTAGATGGCTGCAACGGCTGGAATTGGGCCGATCCGAAGCCAGGAGCCAGGAGCTTCATCCGGGTCTCCCACGTGGGTGCAGGGGCCCAAGGACTTGGGCCATCTTCCCCTGCTTTCCCAGGTGCGTTAGCAGGGAGCTGAAATGGAAGTGGCTCCGTGCTCTGATAAGGGATGCTGACATCGCAGGCGGTGGCTTAACTGTGGGGAGCAATCCGGACTAGACTAAGTTACTCGAATTAGGACTTATTCTATGCATCTGCTCTCCCACAATATGGCGCTGGGAGAGAAGTAAACAGCTTTCGCACAGCTGCCTCCAGTTCAACCAATTAACTGTAGGACTTGATCCTGATTGGAGAGCAGCGTACTCGGCGTGTGGGCAGCCGAGTTGGGATTGGCGGAGGAGGACTATAAAGGAGGAGAGAAACGGCATGTACCAGGAACATCTATGGGGAACATCTAAGGGAACCCGTGCAGCCCCCGAGAAGAGCCGGCTGGCGGTGTGCCGCTCCCCTGCGGAAGTGGGGAATGTGGCCAGGGGGAACTGCCCTTCCACGGAGGTGGAAGGGATAGTAGCCAACCCGGGAAGAACCAGCAGCAAACCCGGGGAGGGCCGAGCAGACGAAAGAACAGCGCAGGGTCCTGTGTCGTTCCTCCATGAAGAGGGGGAGCGACATAATGGTGCCGTGACTCGGATAGGAAACCTAGCTCGGATAGGAAACTTAGGACGGATATGAAACTTAGGAGGGAAGAAACGGGAAGAACTAGGGAAAATATCGGAGAGAGAAACTAGCAAACAGCCTAGGGAAAAGCCGGACGAAAAGGGTGCCGGAAGAAGCTATTGAAAGCCTAGGCATAGACTCGGATACGGACTACAGGGGGAAGCTGGGAGAAATCTCTAAGGTCGAAAGCGAAAGTGAAAGCTAGAACAAACAGACTCAGATGCGGACTGTGGGGAGAGGCCAGGAGAAATGAGGGAGGAATATCGTTGGAAGAAAACTTAGGGAAACATACCGGGTAGAGAAAAATGTTAGGGAAATTGAAGCCGCAGGGGGCAGGCCGAGGCGGATACGAAAGCCACTTTGGGATTCCCAAGTTAGCCCGGGAATAGGGGGCGAAAAGTTGAAACTAGAAGCTGAGACGCAAGCCAGGTTGGGATCCGTCTGATTAGCCCGGGGAGCAAAGGACGGGAAGCCAAACCGTGGGGCGGAGACGTACGCTGGGTTGAATTTGCCAGGCTAGCCCGGGGAACTTGGATTGAATGCTAGTGGTGGAGACGCAAGCTACGCTGTGTTACTCGCGGAAGCCGCCGCGTGCAGAGAGAGCACGGGGCGTGAATAGATAGGGAACGCTGGCGTAGGCCGTGGTTCAGACGCGAAAGGGTTAAGCGTGGAGCCCGCGACCGAGCCGCGCAAAGCCGGGAAGCTGCGCAGATGAGAGAGGCGCGCGGGCTGAAGCGGCGAGGTGCCGGGAAGCTGCGGGGATAAGAGAAACAGAAGTTTGGAAGTGAAGTAAAAGAGAAATGGGAATGCTGGAAGATAGAAGTGAAATGGGAGAGGTAGGAATGCCCGGAGATAGAGAAATAGAGAAAAATAAGGCCTCCCCTCAACATGCCAATTAGAAGGCTTGGATTCGGTCTGCCCGATTAGTGAGGCGATGAGCACCTGGGCGGCTAGCCGCAGGTCACCGAAGACAGGCACGAATTAACATCAGTAAAGCTTCCCCACAATGCAACAATTAGGAGGCTTGGATTCGGTCTGCCTGATTTAAGGCGGTAAGCGCCAGCAAAGCTCGACCAGAGTATGAGCTGCAGGTCACCGAAGATAGGCACGAACCAACACTAATAAGTCTCCCCCACAATAAGGCAATGAGAAGGCTTGGATTCGGTTTGCCTGATAGGTTTTGTAAGCCCCTGCAGGCAGAGCAGAGCATGCGCTGCAGGGCACCGAACACAGGCACGCATCAGCGCCTAAAAACCTCCTCACAACATGGCGAAGAGAGGACCCGGATTCGGTTTGCCTGATAGGACTTGTAAGAGCCTGTGGCAACTCTAGCAAGTAGAGCAGAGTGTGTGCCGCGGGACACCGAAGACAGGCGCGTATCAACGCTAAAAAATAAAAAGAAAGGGGGATCTGTGGGGAGCAATCCGGACTAGACTAAGTTACTCGAATTAGGACTTATTCTATGCATCTGCTCTCCCACAATATGGCGCTGGGAGAGAAGTAAACAGCTTTTGCACAGCTGCCTCCAGTTCAACCAATTAACTGTAGGACTTGATCCTGATTGGAGAGCAGCGTACTCGGCGTGTGGGCAGCCGAGTTGGGATTGGCGGAGGAGGACTATAAAGGAGGAGAGAAACGGCATGTACCAGGAACATCTATGGGGAACATCTAAGGGAACCCGTGCAGCCCCCGAGAAGAGCCGGCTGGCGGTGTGCCGCTCCCCTGCGGAAGTGGGGAATGTGGCCAGGGGGAACTGCCCTTCCACGGAGGTGGAAGGGATAGTAGCCAACCCGGGAAGAACCAGCAGCAAACCCGGGGAGGGCCGAGCAGACGAAAGAACAGCGCAGGGTCCTGTGTCGTTCCTCCACGAAGAGGGGGAGCGACACTTAACCTGCTGCGTGCGCAGCGCCAAGAAACTGGCCCCTTGCCACTTTTAAAATGGGTGATAAGAAATGTTAATCATTTACCTGCAGTTAGAAAGCCTCTCCTTGAGGTGGCTGTCAAAGCACTGGACCAACCCTTGAGTAAAAAGGAATCAGGATCAGGAATTGTGCGCGGCCGCTGGGGGCGCACATCCTCACATAGAAAGTTAGGTTGTGTTTCCTGGTCTTTGTCAAAAGGAGTTGAATGGATAAACTGGTGCATGCCCACACCGAAGGTTCTTAGGTACTAAGAAGAAAAAAGCTACCATGGCCCGCGCTGTGGCACAGCACGTTAAGCCACTGCCTGCAGTGCCAGCATCCCATATGGGCGCCGGTTCGAGTCTTGGCTGCTCCACTTCCAATCCAGCTCTCTGCTGTGGTCTGGGAAAGCAGTAGAAGATGGCCCAAGTCCTTGGGCCCCTGCACCCGCGTGGGAGACCCGGAAGAAGCTCGCTCCTGGGTCCTGGCTTTGGATCGGCGCAGCTCCAGCCATTGCAGCCAATTGGGGAGTGAACCAGTGGATGGAAGACCTCTCTCTCTCTCTGCCTCTCTGTAACTCTTAAAAAAAGGAAAAAAGAAACTACCAAGCCGCAAAAGGCCAGGAAGAAAACCTCAGCGAAAAGAGCTCAGTGACAGAAGCCAGTCTGAAGAGGCGACACACTATAGGAGTCCAACTCTCCGACCTTCTGGAAAAGGCAAAACTGTGGAGACAGCCTGTTGCACAGGAGGCACGGAGAATGCACTGTCTATTTCTGTGACACAAGTAGCAGAAAGGAGCTTGGCTGTTTTCACCATAAGGGAAGGCTAAATGTTTGTTAGCTATGTTTACACTGTGCAGTGTGCACACGTATGGACTACCCCATGAGTACGTGCAATAGTCATGTGTTAGTTCAAAACAAATAAAAAACGGAGCGGGGGCACGCATCTGGCACAGTGGTTGTCGCCTGGGAAACCTGGAGCCAATCAACACCGGGGACCTGGCTGCTCCGCTTCTGATGAATGAGCCTGGGCAGGTAACAGGTGATGGCCCGAGTGCTTGGGCCCCTGCTGCCCACGTGGGCCATTCGGAGGAAGCTCCTGGCTTCCACCTGGCCCATCCCCAGGCTCTCGGGGTCATTTGGGGAGTGAACCAGCAGATGGAAGATCCCCTCTCTCCCTCTGCTTTTGAAATAAAGGTGAACTTTATAAAAGTGGAAGATATTATAGGAAGGGGATGGGAGCGGATACAAGATGGAAGCTCAGGATTTATATGTACTCGTCTACTTTTGTGCATGTTTGAATTTTTCATGATAAAAAAGAGTAGTTTGGGACAATGTCATTAGGAAATTTAATTGAACATTTTTCCCAACAGTTTGTATTTAATTTTTTTTATATTTATTTATTTGAGGGGCAGAGTTAGACAGAGAGGGAGAGACAGAAAGAGAGAGGTCTTCCATCCCATGGTTCATTCCCCAGATGTGTGCAACGGCCAGAACTGGACTCGATCCGAAGCCAGGAGCCAGGAGCTACTTCCGGGTCTCCCACGTGGGTGCAGGGGCCCGAGGACTTGGGCCATCTTCTACTGCTTTCCCAGGCCACAGCAGAGAGCTGGATCAGAAGAGGAGCAGCTGGGTCTTGAACTGGTGTCCATATGGGATGCCAGCGCTGCAGGAGGTTGTTTAACCCACTACACCACAGCTGGCCACAAGAGTTCTTTTTTTTTTTTTTTTTTTGACAGGCAGATTTAGACAGTGAGAGAGACAGAGAGACAGAGAGAAAGGTCTTCCTTCCGTTGGTTCACCCCCCAAATGGCTGCTACGGCCGGCGCGCTGCACCATTCTGAAGCCAGGAGCCAGGTGCTTCCTCCTGGTCTCCCATGGGGTGCAGGGCCCAAGCACTTGGGCCATCCTCCACTGCACTCCCTGGCCACAGCAGAGAGCTGGCCTGGAAGAGGAGCAACCGGGACAGAATCTGGTGCCCCGACCGGGACTAGAACCCAGGGTGCTGGCGCCTCAGGTGGAGGATTAGCCAGGTGAGCCACAGCGCCAGACAAGAGTTTTTTTTTTTTTTAAGATTTATTTATTGATTTGAAAGGTAGAGTTACAGAAAGAGAAACACAGAGATAGTCCATCTGTTGGTTCACTCCCCAGATGGCCCCAGATGCCTGGGCCAGGCAGAAGCCAGGAGCCAGGGACTTCTTCGGGGTCTCCCACATGGGTGCCAGGGTCTAAGCACTTGGGCCATGCTCTGCTGCTTTTCCCAGGCACGTTAGCAGGGAGCTGGATCAGAAGTGGAGCAGCCGGGACTCGAACTGGTGCCTATATGGAATGCCAGCACTGCAGGTGGAAGCTTAACCTATTAGGCCACAGCTCGTACCCCGTATTTAATTTTTCTGATGTGATTACACATTACAAAGACAATGAACAACATTGTTCTCCACCAGGGCCCATTCTGACTCCTGAAATAATGTCCAGCGCACCTCTGAGCGCCGAGGGAGCAGATTAATGTTCTCGTGTCTCAAGGTGAATAAGGTCGGGGAGCCCGGGCGACCCCGCATCCAGAGCCTCTCCAAAGGCAGTTTGTATCCTGGTCAAGCGGGGGTGGGGTGGGGGTTCAAACAGGGCGGGACCTGCAGCCCCTCCGTCCCAGCTGGGGAGGCGTTGGGACATAAGGAACTTCAGCTTCCCTGGGGAGCCAGCTTGGCTTTCCCTCCTCTTTCCCTCCTCGCTGCTGGGTGGATGCCGCGCTGCGCGGTTGTTCAGGTTGCTAACTGTGCAAAGAAACCCCCCCCCCCCCAGGTCCACCTGATGAACCGTGAGGATGTCGTGAGGGGCTACCATGGAAAAGGCGGGGCCGCCTGAATCACAACCTGCATCCACTCCTCGGCAGGAGCCAGAAGCTGCCTCCTTGGCAAGATGGGGTCCTGCTTGGATCCCTCCGTCCCTCCTGCCCAGTGCTCGCAGTGGATGCTGGGTCGTGGGGAGGCGGCGGCCCTCTAAGTACCCGCTTCCAGCATTGTGAGTGCCACACTGTGGCAGGGGGGACTCCCCGGGCCCCGTCCCCACCCCCTCCGCAGCGGGTGGGAGGGGTGGGGCCGGGAAGCACCCCCCTAAAGGATCTAGAACCCGAGTTTCACCTGTGTGGCGCCTCCTGTCCCCGTCTGAGGAAGTCCTTTCCTTCCAAGGACACCCAGGGCCCGCTGCGGGAGGGGGAGGAGGAGGAGAGAGGGAGAGGCAAGGAGAGGAAGGCAGCGCCTCTTCCGCCCCCCGCCCCCGCCCCCTGCCCCGACCCAGCGTCCCGGTGCCCAACGCCAGGCTGCACAAGGTTATTTTATTACTTCCTTTCTACTCTCTGCACACGAATGAGTAAACGGCGAAAAAGCAAACAGAACGCAAACATCCTGGACTTGCTGCGTGTCACAGAAACCGGGTGAAGGGGTGGGGGTGGGGGCCGTGGCTGGCGCCGGAAGACTCCCTCCAAGGCCACGGTCGCAATCGGAGGTCATAAGGGAGCCAGCCCCGCGCGGGTGCAGCGGCGGCCGGAGCAGCAGTGCACTTGAAAGCCAGCGCCCGGCACACCTGCTACCTCCCCCCCCCCCCACGCGGTTCCCTGTGGGCGTGGGCTCCGCGCAGCTTCCGCCGCAGCCGGCCCCTCCTCCAGCCCTGGGCCGCGAATTCAGGACTGGGAGAAAGGGACTCCAGCGTGTGCACACCGGGGGACCATTGTGTGCTAAGGAGGGGGAGGGGTGAGGAGGCTGGCGGGAGGAGCAATGGGGGTGGGGTGCGGGAGGGAGCGGAGGGAAGCCACACTAGGACAAAGAGCGTAGGGGCGGGAGGAGGGAGAGAGAACGAGGCCTGCCCATCACTCCTAGGATCAGAGCACCCGGCTTCTGCTTCGACTGACCCCAACGGATCCATAAGCTCCTTCGGAGTTGCAGCAGGCTTCAAACTTCTCTTCCTTGCACCCAGTGGCGTTCTAAATAATAGGCCCTCAGATCCAGGCGTGTTTTTTTCATTTTATAAAAAAAAAAAAAAAAAAGAGGCAGGCGATTGGTAAATGCCCACATCCCATATGGGAGTGCGTGAGTTCCAGTTCCAGTCTTCTGCTAATGCAGACCCTGGGAGGCAGCAGGTAGCCCATCAGTCAGCTGGGTCTCAGCCACTTATGTGGGAGACCTGGATGGAGTTCCTGGCTCCTGGCTCCTGGCTTCAGCGTGGTCCAGCCCTGGCTATTGTGGGCATTTGGGTAATGAATCAGATAGAAGATTCCTCTCTCTCTCTCTGCCTCTCAAATAAATAAATTAAAAAATTAAAAAAACAGATGTTGGAGCCAGCATTGTGGTACAGTGGGTTAAGCTGTAACCTGGGATGCCAGCATCCTATCTTGGATCGAAGGGCTGAGTCCCGGCTGCTCCTCTTACAATCCAGCTCCCTTCTAATGCACCTGGGAAAGCAGCGGAAGCTGGCCCAAGTGCTTGGGCCCCTGCACCCATGTGGGAGACCCGGAAGCAGCTCCTGGCTCCTGGTTTTGTTCTGGCCCAACCTTGGCCATTGCAGCCATTTGGGGAGCGAACCAGTGGATGGAAGACCTCTCTCTCTCTCTCTTTCTGACTCAGTCTCACTCTGCCTTTCAAATAAATAATATAAAATCTTTTTTTTAAAAAAGATTAGAGCAGTTTTAGGTTCACAGCAAAATGGAGCAGAAGCTGCAGAGTTGCTTGGTGCCCGTCCCCACAATGCATCCCCTCCCCTACCAGCACAGTACCCTTGGAGGTACCTACATGGAGACATTGTAATCACCCATCATCCACAGCTTACACGAGGGCTCTCTGGCTTTCTGCTTGTGTTTGCTACTGCCCCACGCCTGCTGGGGTTGGCCCCTGTTTTTCTGTGTGGGTTTGGACAAACGTATGCAGCCACCATTGTAGCCTCATACATGAGTGGTCTCATCACCCTCCAAAAGCCCTGTGCTCTGTTCATTTCTCTCTCACATAAAATGGCAAATGCCTGTGTCAGCCCAGGGCAGGGCCAGGACAGGAAGCCAGGAGCCTGGCCATTCCAGCGGGTTTCCCATGTGTGTGGCAGGGACCCAAGTACTTGAGCCACCACCAGCTGCCTCCCAGGATACGCATAGGAAGCAGGGCACTGTGCCATGCGATGCGATGGGGGAGGGGGGGTAGCCGCAGTGCCTACACCTGAGTTTTCTCTTTTTTCTACTATCTCCACTCCATAGTTTTGCCCTTTCTAGAATGTCATCTCGTTTTTTAGACCTCCCTCCCCCTTTTTTTAAAATTTAATTTGAGAAGCAGAGAGAGACAGAGTTTCCATCTGTTGGTTTCACTCCCCAAATGCCGGCAAGAACCCAGGAGCGGGGGGCGGGGGGGGAGGCTCCACCCCAGGTACTTGGCTGTGGGACACGCACCCCTTAACCACGAGGCCAAACGCCCGCCCAGCCAGCTCATTTTCTGCACACACCAGGAAGCCTTTGCAGACTGGCTTTTTTCGCTTAGTAATTCATTTTCCTTTTATGACAAAACTGTCATCATCTTGTTTATATTTTTCCAACCCTTCTCTCATTTAATGTACCTGGTACATAACCGCTTCCAGTTATTTCAGGCCTGCGAATCAATTGGAATCAAGTGTTTTTCTTTTGAGAAAAGGCAAAAGAATATTCGCTGGATACTGGAGACCAGAGATCCTGGCATTTCTGGTGCCCATCAGGGTCCAACCTGTGTGGTGGGTCCTCTGACTGCACCGTCCAGAGCCCGGGTGGGGCGGGGCGGGGCTTTAGCGCTCCGGAGAAGCATTTTCGAAAGAGTGTCTATCCCATCTGAACATGGGCTTGACCTGGGCCTGGCTTCCATGGAATCCCTCCTACCCCCTCAGTCAGGAGGGCCCGGCAGCCCTCTGCAGTGAGGCCGAACCTGGGCGCCCTGTTGCGCAGACCCCTGCAGGCATTCATCACCTCCCTCATTCTGGGGCGGTCAGAAGCCTTGCACCAACAGGCAGGTGTTCCCCTCATTGAATCCTCACAGTCTCACATCAGCCATTAGGACAACAACAGCCCTTTATAAATTCTTAAAAATTTCATTTTATTTGAAAGGCAAACAGACACAGAATGAGAGAGAGAGAGAGAGAGAGAGAAAGAGAAAGAGAAAGAGAAAGAGAAAGAGAAAGAGAGAGAAAGATAGAGAGATTGATCTTCTATCCAATGATTCATTCCTCAAATGCCTGCAACAGCTGGGGCCAGGTTAGGCCAAAGCCAAGAGCCCTTAATTCAGTCTCCTAAGTGGGTGGCAAGGAATTCAAGCGCTTCAGTCATCGCCTGCTGCCTCCCAGTGTGCACATTAGCAGGGAGCTGCAGTAAGGAACCAGAGCTAGGAATCGAACTCTGGCACTCTGATACGGGGTGTGGGTGTCCCAAAGCAGACGCTTACTCACTGTACCAAATGATTGCCTCTAACAGGTGTTTCAATACACAGTCTTCTTCATTGCCATGGGGGATTGGTTTCAGGACAGCCTGTGGAGACCAAACTGTATATGGACGTTCAAGTCTCATACGCATATGGCATAGTATTCGCATGGAACCCATGCGAATCATCTCTAGATTACTTATTTATTTGAGAAGCAGAGACAGAGGGACACACACACACACACACACACGCAGCTCCCATCCACTGCTTTGCTCTCCAAACTTCCCCAATGGTTGGGGCTTGGCAGAAGCCAAAACTGGGAGCCAGGATCTCAATCCAGGTCTCCTCTGTGGGTGACAGGAACCCACGGCTGCCTTCCGGGTTCTGCGTGAGCAGGAAGCCGGAGACAGGAGCCAAAGCTGGGACTCAAAGCCAGGCACTGTGAGAGGGGACTTGGGGGAGGGGACTTAACAGTCGCTAGGCTGGAACTTCGCCAGCAAGACTTCCGACCTGAACGGCAACACCTCCAGGCTGCGCACTCCGCCGATTTTGACCTTGCCCGGTTCTATATCATAATACCTGAGACTGAGCAATGTCTAAAGAACAGAGATTCAGACAGTTCTGCGGGCCCGGAAGACCAGATCAAGTGGCCACATCTGGTGAGGGTCTTTGGCTCTGTCACCACCTGGTGGGTCTCCTGTAGCCAGTGTCCTCGTTATTTCACACGAGGCCCCGCCCCTTCAGGGTTTTGCATCACCTCCCACCCCTGCCACACTGAAGACCAAGCTTCCAACACAGGAGCCCTTGGCGGACAAACCACGCCCAAGCTGCAGCAACCTGAATCCTGAAAACACGTGTGAGCCGAAATGGTAGGAACGGCAGTGGGACGTGGGAGGAAACGGGAATGACCTTGGGTTAGGAGAGATTCCTGAATACACAAAATAGCATAAGTTCTAAAGGGGAAAATTAATAAACTGGACTTCATTAAAGGTAAACGTGTCTTTTTTTTTTAAGATTTATTTATTTGAAAGGCAGAGTTACAGAGAGGCAGAGAGAGAGGTCTTTCTTCTACTGGTTCACTCCCCAGATGGCCGCAACAGCTGGAGCTGCGCCTATCCGAAGCCACGAGCCAGGAGCTTCTTCCAGGTCTCCCATGTGGGTGCAGGGGCCCAAGTCCTTCCACTGCTTTCCCAGGCCATAGCAGAGAGCTGGATGGGAAGTGGAGCAGCCAGGACTCGAAATGGCGCCCATATGGGATACCGGCACTGCAGGCGGTGGCTTTATCCGCTACTAGCACCGACTCCAACATGTCTTCTCTTCTAAAAGCAATTGCTAGGCTAGGTGACCCCTGCCACCTCTAGATTAGTGATGACACCTAATGCAGTGTAAATAGTTGTTACACTGTATTGTTTAGGGAATGATGACAATGAAAATGCCTGCATGTGTTTGCTACAAATGCACTTTTTTATTCCGAATATTTTTAATCCACAGTGGACTGCATCCACAGATAAGGAACCCGCTGATCCAGAACCTGGGGATATGAAGGTTCCATCATGCTTAATGTGGCTTATGTGCCAGGCCTTTTCTTTCCCTCTCTCTCTCTTTGAAGATTTGTTTATTTGAAAGGCAGAGTGATAGAAAGAGGGAGAGACATAGAAATCTTCCATCTGTGGGTTCACTCTCCAAATGGCCACGACCTTGGGGCTGGGCCAGATCGAAGTCAGGCACCTGGAACTCCATCTGGATCTCCCACGTGGGTGCAGGGGCCCAAGCACTTGAGCCACCTTCTACTGCTTTCCCAGGTGCATTAGCA